GCAGCGGCACAAGCGGCCGCGGAGCGCGCCAAGCCCGGCCCCGCGAGCTGCTGGCGGCAGGAAGGAAGGTGAAGCACGCTCAAGATAGACGTGTTTGTTGCCGTATATTTGGGAGGATAATAATTAAGGCTGTTTGTTTATCCTGACGAACACGGTAATTAATAACCTGTGGCCGACTAGCAAATCCTTCCTGCACCTGGGAGCTGAGTTGCCTCTGGGAAGGTCGAGGGCCTCGTTGCAGAGCTGCTGCCGCCCCGCGAGGAAAGGCTGCTGTTTCGGGCCCATCCGGGGCTTGCTCGGTGCCCCGCTCGGGCTGCGGCCGCAGGCAGCGGGCTCTGGGTCGGGCCCGGGTGCGAGGGCAGCGAGCAGGAGCCTCCCGGGCTCGCCTAGCAGAAAGCTGAGATTTTAGGCGCGAGGCGATGAATGAATACGAGTAGGGGCCAAGCAGGGAGCAGGGCGGGTGCTGCCCGGTGCAGCGGCAGCGTCATCGCGGCTGGCGTCGCTTCGTGGGGGCCGCAGAGGGGAGCGAGGGGGTGTCTGGGGGCACGTGAAGGTGCAACGTTGTAGGTGGAAAGCATGAAGAAACTTGTTCATAATCTTATGCTGCTGTAAAGAAGGAGCGAGGAGCAGGGCGGGCGGCAGCCTCGGGTTCCTGGGGGACCTGGGACCCCGTACACCACCTCCTGGTGCACGAGTCTGGCTCTGCCTGGGGTGCTGCAGTGCTACCACTGCCCCGTGCCACCCGAAAAGTGCTGCCCTTGGCTGGCTGGCTGTGCTAGGAAGGCCATCTTCCGACTAGGCTCTGCCTACCTGCTAGATTCAATTAAGGGCACCACGCGTTTCCCAAGAGGTGCCCAGGTTGAGGACTGATGTCCTGGCGTGGTGCCCTCTGAGATGCTCTGGTGCCTGGTGCAGGTTGGGGCGGTCGGCTTCACGCTCTTTCCACTAGATGGAGATCGAGGCCTTGCAGAGAGCACAGCTGCCTTCGCCCCGCCACGGTGCAGGCGTAAAGCATCCGCGCTGGCTCCTGCGCTCTGCGCTTTCTCCTATCTGCTCCTGGCTCCTGCCCAGGGTCTCACGGATGGTTTGCCAGCTGGGCATCACGGCATCTCGGCAACAGCCAGAGCAATTTGGGGGATTCAGGGTCAAGACTGATGCAGTTTTGCTTCTCTTGTAGATGCTGCAGGATTGCCCCAAAGCCCGCAGAGAAGTGGAGCTCCACTGGAGGGCATCTCAGTGTGCACACATTGTCAGGATCATGGATGTCTACGAGAATCTTTACCAGGGCAGGAAGTGTCTGCTCATCGTCATGGAGTGGTAAGTGCCAGCAAAGGGGCCGATGCTCTGAATGTCTTCTCTTTTGACTGTGACTCAGCCGGACCAATGCTCTGGAGACCCCTGAAATAACTGAAAAGGCATGAGGAAGTTCAGAGTGTTTGGGAATGTCAGAGGATGCCCTTCTGCCCTCGCTCCCAGGCTTGGCTTTCTGGGGCATAATGCCAAGGTGAGGGCCAGCTGCCAAGGCTTTCTGCAGTGCTGGTACCTGAAAGGTGGACTGTGGCCCTCCTGGAAAAGCAGCTCAGCTTGACCTCCCTGCCCAGAAAAAAACAAAGGGGAGCGGATTAACTTCCATCCTTACAGTTCAAGGACTGGAGCAGAGTTGGCATAGAAACACAGCACAAAATGCTTACAGCCCTCGCCACGTGGGATAGCTGGATGATATAGAGCAGGGGGTGTGCAAATTCCTCCACTGTTGTGTTGCAGAAGGTTTTAGTGATGCCAGGCAGGTGCTTGGCATGGGGAAGAAGTCTGCAGGGCGCAGAGAAGCAAGAACTGAAAGAGATGTTGCATCAATGGTGTTCAAGGGATGAACTTCCAAAGTGCTGTGCACTCTGAACAGGAGCTAAACTGGCTCTGAGTCATTCTGAAAACTTGTTCTGATGTTAGTAGGCTTCAGGCCTGTGGGTTTTGTAGCGGATAGATCATAACCAAACTCGCTTTGGCCATTGAATGTAATGGGTAGTCACTGGGTTGCTGGCACCACAACAACATCTGGTGTGGTCTGGTTGGGCAGCAAGCAGAAAAGCAGATATGACAGATTTATCGATGCATATTAGGCAGAAGTGCAGCAGTAATTGAGCAAGTCTGATTCTGGTAGATGTTTGATATAACATGGGGAGGAGGAGGAATGAAGGGGAAAGTATTGAAACCACATCCCAACCGCAGCTGTGATTTAATGTAGCTTCCTTGCCAAAACCTCTCCTCTGGCAAGCCAGTAGGTTGCCTGCGGGGGGCAGAGGGTGTGAGGAGCAGCCGTGAGTAGAGAAAGGGCAGGCTGCAGATCCGCCGCGCAAAGGACTTCTGGCTTCTCTTGCATGGGAAGAAGCTTTCAAGAATTGCACTGAGACCCTGGGCACCCAGAGACTGGAAAGGTTTGTGCAGCACATCTGCTTGTGTGGGAAGAAAGCAGTGGCTGAATAACAGGAAAATAATCTCCTGAGCTCCTTGAATGACAGCTCTTTGCAAAGCATCTTTTCGGTAGGCACCCAATGCACAAGGGGTGCTCTGGGTGTGATCGACTGGAACAGCCTTTGAGTGCATGGTGACCTCTAAAAGTCTGGCAGAAGCCAAAGAGCAGCACTGTGTGCAGCTCCCTCTTGCTCCTGCAGCTGAGTGTCGGCTGGTGTCTCCTTTCCAAACACAGTATTTGATTTTAACGTGTATACGGTCTCTCTCTCTCCTTGTGCACTCAGGGCAGGATCAGTACAGATGAGTGTTCATTATCTGTAATGCAGATGTCTAGCTAATGTCAAGGGCGCTTGCATGAGATACTGTCTGGGAAAGCCAGAAACTGTTTCTTGTTGAATTAGATAAGACAGAGACAGGAAACAGGTTATCCCTGTTTTTACTAGTGAAGCTCATAGAGCTGAGTTTCTCTTTAGGGTACCTAGGGAGTTTTTAACAGGGGAGAGAACCAAGCAAGTTTCTCCTGGTCCTTCTTCAGCACCTTGCCTGAGAGCTTGCTCTGCTGTCGGGGAAATCGATCTCTCCCTCTCTCCATCCCATTTTTAAGCCAATGTGAACTGTCCTGCACCGACTGTGTTGGAGCAGCCACATGCTGTTGTGCTGTGCCCTATTTGCTGTGGCACTTGGGAAGTCTTCTCGCAACCCGGTTTGTGCTGGGCGAACGGTGTGCATCTCCACACTCCGAACACCGCTGGCGCAGCTGCCGCCTCCCCAGCACGAGCAATCTGAGCTCAGCACTTCCGCGTCCTGTGGGTTTAATTTGACTGGTGAGGTTGCTTGGCTTGCAAGCTAAAGTAGGCCAAATGCGGTGGGAACTCTCCACCCTTCTAGAGCAGCCTGCTGTCTTTACTGTAAATGCGTTTCTGCACGGCTACTGTGGGTTGACAGGGAGACCACGTCCGTTCACATCTTGTGTCCCTGCTGGGGTGTGCGAATCCTCTGCCCTGCTTTCTTGAGAAAGGGTCTGAAATGCCCTGTGCCCAGAGGTGCCAGCTTAAGGACTTGGACTGATTGCTTACCTAGTTGTAGAGCTCCTGGCTGTGCATCAGTGATGCTGATATTGTTTGAGTTGGGGCATCTCCCCAAAGCTGCAGGTGCACTGCCTCTTTGCAGAGAAAGGCCAGCACTGCTCCTGAAGGCATGTTGGAGCAAATTTAGAGTGGGGAATTGGCATCTAACTGTCTAATGCCTCTGCTTCTCTGTTTCAGCTTGGATGGTGGGGAGCTCTTTAGTCGAATTCAAGATAGGGGAGACCAGGCCTTCACTGAACGGGGTATGGAGTCAACATTGACTTTTGTTTTGATCTTTGGACAGTTTTTTGCCATTCATAAGAATTTATCTGATTACACCCATACCCTCAATTGCTCTTCTAAGTAGCAAGATTTTGCATTTGGAGAATGAGGGATTTTGCTATGTGTGCCCAGTTGTTACTTATGGCCCAGCTTTTCCCTGTCAATCAAGAGCAGAGTTAAGGGGTATCTTTTCAGCAAACATGGGTCCCCTCAAAGTGTGCTGCCTCTTCATCCCTTCCATCCTGCTCCAGCACCCTCAGGAACTTTAGTGACCCTCAGAAGCACTCCCTTCCGCTCCAAAAAATGAAATTTTGTGGCTGTGGTTTTCACAGAGATAAAACAGTTTAATCCCCTCTGCTCCTGTGGCTCAGAAAAGTTTCTGTAAAACCCAAATCCCAAGCCCGTTTGTCCATTAGTTTCCCAGCCCGCAGGGGACAGTTTCCCCAGCTCTTTCTAGCCCTGGAGGTTTCAGGTCCCTTGTGGCACCTGAGGACCATTAAGCCTCTCCCTGTCCAGAAGCAAGTTGTCCTCCTTGCTCTTGATGTTTAGTGTTTAGGCTTGTGCCTGGAGCTTGCTTGGAAAAGCCCTGCTTGGAAAGAGAGGTTTTGGGTGGGGGAAACCCTCTTGGCCTCAGCCTGAGTTGAGTTAGGCCCTGCTCCTTGGCTCCTACTTTGTAGATGCTCCCCGGGTAACCCAGGGAACAGTGCTTGTTTTGAGTAACTGAATTACAATGCTTTCCATGTTTTTGTTGCTGCTCCAGAGGCTTCAGAGATAATGAAGAGCATCGGGGAAGCCATCCAGTATTTGCACTCGATCAACATTGCGCACCGGGATGTGAAGGTACCGTGCTGTATGTGCACCTGGTGGTGCCAGGGCCCGCTCTTGGTCTCTGCCTTGACAAGCGCTGCTGAGTCTGATGCCCTCAGTGGCACCTGGCTCTTATTTTTGCTTTTTGTTCCTTATGTTTTCACAGCCAGAAAACCTCTTGTACACCTCAAAAAGGCCCAATGCTGTGTTAAAACTCACTGACTTCGGCTTTGCTAAAGAAACTACCACACACAACTCCTTGGCCACTCCATGCTACACACCTTATTATGTGGGTAAGTTGCTGGGAAGCCTGAGCTTTCACATTTTTTGCAAGTGTTGAAAATACCCTATCACCTATGTTGGTCTTGTAAGTGAATGAGGGCCAGGGTCATGGGTAAAACCAGAAGAAAGCTCAGATCATATCTTGTGAATTCCTCCGTAACGCAGGCCATCACATCTGTGGCACGCTGCAACGCTCTGTCCTTAGAGCACTGTTTGAGATGGCTCCTTTTGGAGACTTTTCAGGCCAGGGTGCTGGTTTTGAGGGGAACGTTGCGGCCGTGCATGCAGTGAGGGCTGCTCGGAGTGCTGCAATCACGTGGAGCGTGCTGGACCCCATGCGCGGATGCTGTATGAAGGGTCCCTCATGCATCCAGGCTGCAGCCTTGCACATCTCTTGGTGCTCCTTGGCTCCGAGAGGCAGCACCTTGCTGCTGAGAGGTTGGTTGTGTGTTTAGTTCTGGCCTCTCCTTGCCCAGTGTGTCTGCTGTTTTTCTTTTGCTAGCCCCAGAGGTGCTGGGCCCAGAGAAATACGACAAGTCCTGTGACATGTGGTCCCTGGGTGTCATCATGTATATTTTGTGAGTATGCTGGGAGAAGACTTTTTAGGTCAAGACTGACAGGATTTCAGAGATGCTTATGTGTCTAAAAACATAGCTAAATGGGATTTTTAGAAACAATCCTTGAGTGTAGCTTGCACTGAGACCTGCAGCTGAAGCAGGGAGAGGTGTTCCCAGAGCTGAGTGCCTCCCTGCGCCCCATCCACCCTCTGGAGTTGGGGGATCCCAGGACCTGCCAACTCTCGCAGGCGCTGGAGCTTTTCCTTGCTCCATGCCGAGCCTTCTCCTTAGGTTTGCCTCCTCACTCCCAGGCTCTTTAGATGGGTCTCTTCCCTTGGCATTTGGACTGTTGTGTCCCCAGTGAGTTCCTGGGTCGCTGGCCAGGTCTTTCCCCTGTCTGCACTCACAGCAGCTCCCCTGGACAAGGTGCTCCTGAGCTCCTGAGGTAAATAACCAGCTTTGGCTCTTTGAGGATGCTGCTGAGAAGCCACATGCTCTTCTACATTTCTGATAGAGCAGACCAGTCTGAAGGCTGTTTTGTTTCCAGGCCACGTGTTGATTCACACCTCTCTTTCCTTTGCCCAGGCTGTGTGGGTATCCCCCCTTCTATTCCAACCACGGTCTGGCCATTTCTCCAGGCATGAAGAAGCGCATCCGAATGGGCCAGTATGAATTTCCCAACCCCGAGTGGTCTGAAGTATCAGAAGAAGGTAAGTGCTGTAGTGTAGGCCATGTGGGCTTGTCTCTGCCCTGCCAGAACAAGGCTGGTCCCTGCTGGCCTTCCAGCCCTGAGGAAACCTCAGGAGCGTTGTCACCCCTGACATCCCAGGGCCTTATGGTACTGATAGGTGCAGAGTGACTTTCCACACGTATCAGGGTAAAAATGTCACTAGCCTCCATTAGGATCGGCCTCTGAGGGAGGCAGGATGAGCTCTTGTCCGTGGCAGTCTGTTCTGCTGCAGACAGCAGTGGTGTTGGACAGCAAACCTGGGTTATCCTCGTCAGTCACCTCTCACTGAAATAGTAGCTTTGCCTCTGTGGTCGAGAGGCTTTTACTGCAGGGTTTAGCTGGGTTGAAGTCTATAGCGCAGAGGAGCTGGGAGACACCGGCAGATGTGCGGGAGGTGCTGGATGGTGGCATGCGCCCACAGCGCGGGGGAAAGCTCGTCTTGGCCCTGCTCATGCCCCCGCACCATCGCTTTCAGTTAAACAGCTGATCCGCAACCTGCTGAAGACGGACCCGACCCAGCGCATGACGATAACGGAGTTCATGAACCACCCCTGGATCATGGTGAGCACGCGGCCGCGGGGTGTCCTGGGCCACCGCTGGGAGGGGGGAGCGCTGGCAGCTCTCGGCCACGGCTCATGTGTCGTCTCTCTCCGCAGCAATCGATGCAGGTGCCCCAGACCCCGCTGCACACCAGTCGCGTGTTGAAGGAGGAGAAGGATTTGTGGGAGGACGTGAAGGTAAAACCTCTCTGAATTGCTTTTGCCCTGAGCTGCTCGGCCCTGCCATCCTGCAAGTGCCCTGCAGCTCACCTGGGCCTCTATGTCGTTTTCTGGCTGTCCCCGTTGTGCCTTCACCTCTTATGGGGCAGGTTAGAAATAGGACTAAGTCACCCTGGAATTGAAACTCAAGTGTGTAACAGGGCTGGGGGAAAGGTGGTTCCCACTGAAACAGCTCCCAAAAGGACATGCCAACTTCCCACTTTCTGCAGTCCTGAAATGGGGATGGGGATGGAAAAGCTGGTGGCAGGTCCATGAGCTCTGGGCTAGCATTTGGACCTGTTTGGGCTGGAGGTCAGAAAGCTGGTGGTGTCCCCTGGTCTGACTCCTCTCCCCCACTTGGGAGGAGGATCGTGGCGGGTTGTGGCAGGGCGTTGCTGCCATTGCTAACCGGGCTCTGTGTTTCCCTCCCCGTCCGCAGGAGGAGATGACGAGCGCGTTGGCCACCATGCGTGTGGACTATGAGCAAATCAAGATTAAGAAAATCGAAGATTCCTCGAATCCTTTGCTCATGAAGAGGCGAAAGAAAGCAAACCCTGCCGAGCCAGCGGCGCTCCCACACTGAGGGTGCCCGCGCTTGTCGGCCCTTGAGAAAGCAATAACTATATATATATTTTTTTTAAGAAAAAGACAAAAAGAGACAGACTGTTATGTCAAGCGCATGGAATTCAGACATTTATACCAGACTAGTTATTTTTAGCTACTCACCTGTGTTTCTGACCTTTCTGGAGCAGGCGATGAGATATCCCTGTAAAGATCCACACACTTCGGCTGGGGGGTTTTTGTCCTGTAGGTGAACGACGCCGATAATTGGATTTTTTTTTTTCCCTTTGTGAAACAGTTTTGGCTTTTTTCCTTCCTTCCAAAGACATGGAAATTCCTGTGGTGACCTTTTTAGGGTATATAACGTATAAATATTTTTTAAAAACTACTGTAGAGCTGTAACCCAGACAGCGTGGTCCCTGTGCGGCACGCTGGGTGGAGACACAGGCTTCTGGCTTTGTAGCTAGTGCCGATGCGGTGGCACATCGGGTGCGTGCGGGTGGCGTCGGGGATGGGGCCGGGGTGTCCTCGGGCTCCGGTCCCCTCTCCTCTCCCGCCTCACCGGCGCTGGGTTGGGAGGTCCCTTGGGATGGCGTGCTGCTTTGCTGGCCTGGAAAACTGCTACTTTTAAAGCATCGTAGCAGAAATCCTCCCTGAACTGGAAGCCTTGGCTCTACCCAGGCGTGCGCAGGGCTCTTGTCGAGCCCCACGTGTGCGTGCGTTGTGTTGCTGTCTGTCTGCGCGCGGCGTGTGTGTCGCCCGTCCGGGGGTGCGGGAGCCCAGGCGCACGCCTGCCTCTCCTCTCCTCTCCCCTCCTCC